TATTTAAATATATATATATATATAAACAACAGAATACAATTTTTCTACAATTTCATAAATATAATATATATCATGTCTTCTTCTTCTTCTTCTTCTTCTTCTTCGAGTTTCAATCTGAAATTCAGCCAAAATCAAGTCTAATCTTCACTAAAACACCCTCAAAATTGAGATATAAACTCCAAACCATATTCCCAATTGTTTGCAACAACACTCGATCTAAACAAATAATGTTTTTTGAAGACCCAAATTCGAATTCAAAGCTTTTTAATGGCTGTCAACGGTGGAATTGTTGCTCTCTTTTTTATTTACATTACTGAAATTAGGGATTGAGAGATATAGAGAGACGTAGAGAGAATCCCAATTCTTTGCAACAACACTTAATTCAAACAAATAATATTTTTTGAAAACCCAAATTCGAATTCAAAGCTTCAAAGTTTTTTAATGACTGTCATTGGTGGAATTGCTGCTTTTTTGTGTAAGATACGCGGGGGAGAGGGGGTGGGATGTAGAGAGAGAAACGTGGAGGGAATGGAAGATACGTTAGAGTGATTTTAGGATAATAATTATTATCATTAATTTCCTTAAAATGTACATAAATGATAATTGGGTATATAAAATATAATTATAGTAAAACTTGAGTAGGGAAGGTAATATAGTTTCATATAATGTATAGGAATGTAAACATTCTATTTTATTTTAGTCCATACATATAGATACGAGTTACTAATTGTCCATGTCATATATTATCGCGTGTAAATGATAATATCCAAATGAAATCAGATTATATAGAATTCTCTAGCTGATGACGTTATAATTCCCTACAAATGTTCTAGAGAACGTGGACATTGATGATATCTTGAATGTCCAATATTAATGGAGAGTGATAAGTTGCGTACAACTAATTCTAATATGTGCAAAGGTACGTATGAGAAGTCACCCTTAAATGCAAGATATGCGTTGATAGAACTTTCGTAGGTATAAATATGATCTATCAACATTGACCCCATGGTCCATCACAATTTAATCTATTTAGTTTACGGATGTTTACACAAATATCCACCCAAATTCACTGTTTACCTTTTGTAGTTCGTATACATAAATTATATAATGATTATATAAATTATACATATATTATATATCTGCCAGCTATTTTTAGTTTAAACGGTTGAGTGGATAACTATTTAAGTTTGATTATTAGGCGAGTGTGCAAGTATGCACTTAGACCATTCAATCTAGCACTAGCTACATTTAGATATCGAAAACTCTACCCACTAACACTCAAACAAATGAAAAGGATTCATCTAGCATCTTTTGCTTATGATGTGGTTTAAATATTAATCTCTCAATATTTTCCCATTTCGTTGCACACTAGGCCGTAATCCATCACAATTTATATGGCAAAGGTCAACAAATGTCATCCGTCATATCCCCACGAAATGATTATTATATATATCTAGTCCCCAATTGTACCGACCCTTCTTTCATATTCATTGTCAAAGTTTTTCCAAATTTTAATTGCAAAATTGAATGCTTCTCAAGTGGCCCTCCCAAAAACGAGTCTGCCACATATCAGAACTTGAGATCAATATTGTTTTCATACAATCACAATCTGTGAAAGTTGGTGGATTCATTAAGAAGTAGCAGAAGAACAGTTAATGGCATCTATCTATCAATAGCCTTAATGCTCCAATTGAAGAAAAAAATTATCACATCTACCTGAGCCAACACTGCATGCCGCCACCTATATATTTTAGCACTCTTCACCTACCTAAGAGTAACAAAAACAAAATCCTACAACTAATATACAAAAGCCGATAAATTTATTTATTTAAAAAAAACGTTTTAAGTTCCCATCCGGTATCCAATTCACAATGGGACCCGACTAATTCACCTTCACAAAGTGTAAGGTCCATTAGAAGTCTTAATCTTTTGTATATACCACAATGTAGTCATTAAGGAGATAAATTGTATAGATGTCGACTGTCGTATAAAAGAACTTCTCAATGTCATTGTACTGATTAATATTGGTAAGTTATATTTCTTAATTTTGTGTTTCTCATTTTTATGATCTTTAAAGATTAGTTATGGTTTGAAAAAAAGGGTTTCAAACAAAGTACTTTACGAGAGGAATATTTATTCTAATAAATTATCATTTTCGGTCTAAAAGGCCTACAATATGTAGGACTTACTTTACTCTTACTCAATCTTCCATTCATTCATTAAGTTCTACAGAATATCTTGTACATCAAGTAAAGATGTAATGAGCCGGCCCCCCTTAGTGAATACCAAAGTGTAGTCCAATTTAAGTCTGTTTTCTGCCATCCTCCTCTCTTTCCATTTCTTAAAGGCATATTGATGGTAAATTTCCTATGAAAATGTCTTGGCTCTTGGAATTTCTAACTTTAGCTTTGTCAAAGAGATAAAACTGATGCTACGTACTAATTAACAATAATTACTAGTGCTACTTGATTACTGGTGTGTGGATTTAGAAATGATGGTTATGATTATCAGTGTAATCTTAGTGTTTAAATGTGGGTACGTAATACAATTGTTCCTTGGACCGCCTACATTTTCGTCCTGAAAACACTTGCTCCATATGCATGTCTCTAGTTATTTGTCACTTTCTTTTTGAAAGCCAATTAACCTACTTTGAGGGTTAAATTGGACATAGATAATATCATTTTCTAAATAAAGATTTACATAAAAAAAATATTATAAGTTGTAATATCCTCTCATCAATGGTGAATAAAACAGTTAACAGTCAGCCATCTAGTTTGATATTCGCAAAACAGAAAGTGTCACTTATGCCATGACGTAAGGAATATGTATATTTTAAGGAAAACATATGTGCATAACAGGTATCAAATTACTACAAGCTAAGCATCAACATTTAATTGGAAATTGACACTCTTCATGATAGGGAAAAAATAGAAAATACGAAAGAGTGTTAAATAATTAGCACAGCAAAAAACATACTATATTATATTCACTATTCTCTTTGCCAAAATTTACACGACTCCCCTAGTTAAAGGTGGTATAACTAATTTAATGAACCACTTGGTAGACTTGAGAATACAATGGAAAGAATAAAAAGTACACCCCAATCACCCAAAACAAAGAACCAAAAAGATTTTTAAAAAAAAAATATGTTTAATTTAAGGACAACGTTGGTTTCTTCCAGGTCCTCCATAATAAAAATAATTACCCCAAACACGATTAATCCCACCTTGAATATCATAACAATTAGGATGATCAGCCAAGACTTTGAGATTAGACAATGGTATTAAACTATTGTCCCAATCGACGACTTGTAAATTCCGAAAGTAAGAAGCTTTTCCAAAACCTTCACCAGCAAAATGACCACTTCCCATTTGTGTGGATGTGTGAAATCCATTGCCTCCTTTACTATTCACTATTTCACCTCCAAATTGTATCATACTTGCTGAACCCCTAAGATGTGTAAATAAAAATGATGGCCAATATCCTACCAATACTCCTGATCCAAATTCCAGCCACCAATGTCCATGCTTCGGATCCTGCATATATATATATAATCTAAGTCATTACAAATGACATCGTATAGCCGCGGTAAAAATAATAGTTGAAAAATGTATAAAATTTAAATATTTTATATATATATATATATACATTATGTATGTTATATACAAATTTTATACACTTTTTTTGCTACCAGATTTAAATAGCTTTTGGTACAGGTTAAAAGTGATAATATCCCATGTATAGAGGTTTTAGGGGGAGGAATAAGGGAAATTAATTATTTTGAAATCAGATAAATCATCTAGGAGTATTTGAAATACACTCATTGCGATGAAAGAGAAAGAAAAGAAGTTAATGGAGATGGTTTAGTTTTATAGCTAAATTGAGGAAAAGGTGTAACGAAACATGCGCATCCCCTTTAGTTAGTAGGGCTTGAAAGGCTTGACAGTTTGTTTTCCTGTCCAGTATTTTCAATCCAATCCGAAATAAGAAAAGCCGCAAGCACCACTAGACCCGAAGAGGTCAAAGTGTTTTTCTATAGATCTCCACCCCTTAGAGGAAATAAGATCTTTCCACTCCTTTTTGTCCAACGCTGCCCAAATCTCATACTGTGAGACTTTGCCGAGCCTGCTGCGTACGATTAGCCAACCTTGCGGCGGCAAAAAGGATTTGACGTCCCAGCCATAATGTTGTTTATTGCCTTTTAATTGGAATTCTTCAAATTTTAAGTCAAAGGATGAGATTTTGAGAGCTAATTATGAAGTGGGGGGCAAAGTGAAAAATAATAACAAGTGGATGGGTCAGAGAATTCTTTAATTTGCTTGGGAAAGAAGAGTCAAGAGAATCTTACAAAGTGGGGGTAAAAAAAAAAGCACAAACAAAATGATTACTTCCACTGAATAATATACGATGAATGCTACTTTAAGATTTCCCTTTTGGTATATACATACACACATGCAAGCATGATGTAAATTCATGTTAAATGCTTTTTTGTTTTTGTTTTTTTTGCCTTTACTTTTAATTTTTGAACAACTTATTAAATGAATAATTCAGAACCATTTTCTGTCTGCACGATTAAGTAAAATACCCATTTAAATGAAGCATTTTAACAATATTGGACCTCAACCGAAGAAACTAAATTAGCTAGCTTAGAACAAAAATATAAGAAAAAAGTAGGAAGAAAAGATAAAGAGGCAACGTAAAATAAATTTAAAAAAAAAGAGAGAAGACAATACCATTGATTCTAAATTTCGAATTACCAAAGCCGCGGAATTACCGAAAACGCGCCAAAGAAAGGGGTTTGGTTGAGCGGGAAAAAAAAAAAAGGCAAATGATTCATACTTTCTTGATTCAATTACGATCATCTTAGTTATCGGTTGAAAGAAAAATTCTTAAATGTATTAATTAATTGGTTTTTCGAAAATTTAATTAACATTCTTATGGAAAAACGGCAAAGTTTTTAGGAAAGAAAAATTAAAATCTTTCTTTTCTTTAATAAATAAAAGTGTAATTACCTTCCAAATCAAGATGCTGATATCATATTGTCCACCATTATAAGAGGATGTTGGAGAAATTGCTGCCCCAATTGCTATTTTATTATTGGTCTGAACAAATCCTGAACACAACAAATTGTAACATCCTGTAGCTTGATATGCATCGCTCTGTATAAATCATTAGAAAAACATAAATCGATACAAATTAGTACTCAAGAAATATTTTGGATTTTAATAGATTGTCGCTTTATGTTAATTATCACAAGGATAAAGAAATACAAATGCAGTATGTAAAAACTTACAGTCCAGTAGGTGAAGAACCGTGGGTAATTGTCCCCATATAGCTCTGGGCTTACCTGTTGTAATTAAATGAAATAATTTAGCTATCTTAATTAATTTCATTGCAGCACAGCAGGAAAAATAAATATTCTATGGATTCTTTGATTTTGAAAGGTAGCTGAAGGTTTAATGGATGCTTTAAATGAAACTAAAGGAAATGGTTCGCTCTTTCAGTACTATCCACCCTTTGGAGTACATTTCACATTTAAATCGGAGAAACCGCGTTTTCCATAAAAGTACTGAGAAAAACAATCTCTACCAATTTAAATTTTCTTCAATTATGAAGGAATTGACTTACCGGTGAAACTCAAAAATTTATAAAAATATCTTAAAACAGTGAACCCTTTTTTATTTAAAAATGATCTCGGAATAAATTAGGGAAAATAAACAGTTAAGGCGGTCAAATAGAACTAGAAAAAGATAGAAACCTATTCTCTAAGTTACTATATCGCTTGATACTAAGAAATTACTTGTTGTTATAGGCCAACTTAATTTGATAGTGTAAATATTTTGTATACTCTAACGAAATATTAGATTATATTATATGACTGCATAGTATTTTATATCGGAAGCCTCAATAGTGGAATTTCACTTGGTCGTCGTTGTTGTATAATATAAAGTGAAAGAAATAAATAAGAACATGCCTGCCAACCAGCTTCAATGGTGTTGAGATCATCACCAAATGAACCAGAAATAACCCACATTTGTGATAAACTGAATTCGTATTGGTTGGTAACTTTAGGTGCCCACACATTTATACTTGCTTTTGCACCATAATACTGCTCTCCAGTTACATATCCTACTGCATGCTGTTTTTTCCAAAAATAGAAAAAGTAACAAAATGTAAGAGGAAAAAAGAGAGGCTCTCTTTAAGAAAATTAAGAGGAAAATAATTTAAAAATATACATATTTTATTTTATGAGGAAGAATAGATGGGGCATCTCAAAATTGAAAATCTTGATTTTGGATGATAAAGTTTATAGGACTATTATTTGAATGTAGAAATAGATGGATGGAGATTGACAAAGCAAAGGCATTTGGAAATTAGTGAAATATGGAAAAGGGAAAAAACATCAAAGTCGGCATAGACCAAAAATAGTAACCTAACAAACATTTGATCACAAAAACATGTTAAAGCAACCACATACAAAAAAAATTACTTAAAGTTGTTGAAATATTATTCTGAAAATAGAATAGTTTAACATGAAAATAGTTCCAGCATAAATTTTTGAAATAAACTAATTAACAAGTTAAGAAAAACACAAACCTCATGGCCATTATTAGTAGTGTCTCTACGAATCGGTCTTCTAATTTTTCGACCAAATCTTCGAATGGAACTAGCTCTTAGAATGTCTTGTTCTTTTGTTCTTCGTACTGGAATTGTTCCTTCTGGACATGTTTCTCCAGACAATCTCCAGAGTTGGAAATTTTCGAATTCCATGGAATTCGAGTTGTGCCCTTTTGGCCTCTCAGGTGGTTCCTATAATATAGGAGAAAATATTCAAAATTATTAACATTTCGAAATCTTGAATACAAGTTTAAAAAATCATTTTTAAAGGTGTAGCGGAATGGTAAAACTTTAATTTGTTTTAATCATCAGACATTTAAAATACATTGGTTCGACTAATTTATATTAGCACCGTAAATGATAAAATTTACTTAACCAGAAATATCAGGTCGAGCCACATAAATAAACTAGTGAAGAAAAAAGAATACAAATTAAAAATGAGTATCATAAATAGGAGTACCAAAGGTTTTTGGCCCTTCAAATGAGGATGATCAAAAGCTGGTTGTTGATGAGATAATACACAATCTATAATATCTCCATCAGGACTCTGTATCACAATTCAAAGATTTATTAAGACAATTAAAAAAAAAATAAAGATGACAAAATGGAAACGGAAAAGAATGGAAATGTGGTAATACCTGAATTGTCTTGAGGGAAGGTTTATTGATTTTCATGAGATGAGATTTAATCATTTTCATCTTCTGAAGTTCATCACCTGGCTTAAAAGTTTGGTTGGCTAAGTTGAAGTTTTCTATTTCTAGTGACAAAACAGGACAAACAGAGAAGATAAAGAAGAGAAAGAAAACAAAAATGGAAATGATTGGTGAAATTTTGGAACAGCTAGAAGCCATAACAACTCTTGTGGAATTGGAACAATTTCTTGTTTCTTCTTCTTGTAATTCTTCCTCTAAATCCGTCTGTATTTGTTGTGTACAATAGTGGCATTGTCTTCTTGTGTAATGATGAAGAAAACACCAATTATTTTGTTCCAGCAAATCCATAATTTCCAGCACAAGAACTAGAATTCAAGAAACCAAAAAGGCCTAGTACATGTTCATCACTCTTTTCACCATTTCCAAGAATTCTCAAAATTTTAAAAAAATATAATGGAATTAATTCCCTTCTTCTCTTTCCTCCTTCTAATTCTGAGTCTTCTCTGACTAACAGCAACTCCCAGGCATGAGCTAATATAAAATGTACAAGAATGGGTTGTGTTGTGCGTCTATTTTTAGAGTTTTAATTTTAACTCCATGTGGGCTGTGGGCAAATAAATACTACTGTATTGAGTTGTGATCAGGACATGTAGTACTACTAATTTTTGTTTTTTTTTTTTTTATTTTGAATGAAAATGAAGAAGGAATTAAGTGGAGAGAGAGAGACTGAAATTATGAGCTTCTTGAAGGATGGAGTTTTAGAGGGGTGGGGTAGTGGGAGGAGTGTTTCCAGTCTCCAATACAAAGACTGAAACTTTAGCTTTTCTATGTCTAATTTTATAGTGCATAATGTTTATAAGGGGGTAGGTGGGGTTTTTTTTTTTTTTTTTTTTTT